TCTTTACCATTATTTTATCCTTTTGGTAGCAGGGGGTGAGGGGGCAGTAGTGGGAATTAAAGTCAGAACCTTGTGCTCCCACGCAGGTGCTGTCACTGAGCTGTATCCTTGGCCCAACATCTCCTCCCCAACATGTTATCTTTAACTTTCCAAGGCACTGTCCTCAGATTGTCTCATTTTCAAAATAAGAAGCCTCTCAGTAGCAAACTTAATAAATTCACAAAGCAATATAGTAGCAGAAAAATAAGTAAAATTCCATGTTGTTCCCGTTAACTTTGAAATTGGAAGTACAGTATTAGAGAAGACAGTGCTTAAAATGTCAAACTTCTTGGAGCCATTACAATGAGGAATATTTTCCATCTATTTAAATGCCTGGTACACATAATCCATTTTCCCCCCTTTTATTTGCAGTACTAGAGATGGAACCCAGGGCCTTGTCATGTCTCTGAGCAACATAACTAGCACTGTACCAATATTTTTAAAAAATTTTTTATTATTTTGAAGATCATACAAAGCCAATTTAGACAATGTAGTGAAATTGGTACCGAACTTCACAGCAGATTAACGGGATAACAGTAATAGGTACCACAGTATATCTTTTATCTTCACAATAGTTGTTCTTTCAACCAGGTATAGCAAAATAAAATGAAATACAGAATGTTATAGAACTTATCAAAACAGTATTGAATAGAGCAATACCATTAATCAGAATAAAGCAAAACAGATGGTAAAAATATTTGCCTTCAAAGAGATGGTAGAAGGAAATCCCCCTTATTTGCTATATTGCATATGGTCAACCTCCCAAGAGATGCTCAGATCTCTGGCTCCCATTTGCTAATGGGGGTGGGAGGTGGGGTGTTTGATTCTCAGCCTGTGTGCAGATAGGCTCACTACCACTTAGCAGGGAGGCAAGAAGGTTGCTTGGTTTCCCAGCACCCTAAGTTCCAACATGGCGAGGGTCTCAGGAGTCACTGGTGGTTCTCCCCCTGGGGTGGCCACAGCCTGCCACACCACAGCTGCTTCCCAGGGAGGTGAGCTGGTTGCTTGGTTCCCCAGCACCCTAAGTTCTAACATGGCATTTACCAATTTTTTTTTTTTGTCTTTTTCCTTTTTTATCAGTACCGGGGATCGAACTCACGACTGCTTGCTTGCAAGGCAGGTGCTTATGCCGCTGAGCTAAATCCCCAGCCCCACCAATATTTTTTAAAGACAAGTTCTTATCAAATTTCCTAGGCTGGCTTGCCTCAAGCTTGCAGTCCTGCCCACCTTCCTAAGTAACTGGGATCACAGGTTTCTACCATTATACCATTGGCTATGGCGTCTTCTAACAAAATGTTAGATTTCTATATCAATGAGGGAGTCTAAAAGATTTTACCAGTGGATGACTGTTCAGAGAACCCTTTGGTCTAAACACCCTTTAGCTGTTTCAAAGTGCAAATTTATATTATCTTTAGTTTTCCTTACAATAGGACCTCTCATATACCAATCCATGTCAGTGTAAGGAAAGGTTAACTTTCAGAATTTACAGAGTATGTCTTTTACTGCTTTGCTCTTGATTTGTTATGTGCCAGGGATACAGAAACTACCTAATGTTTTTCACTGACTTATAAGGGTTATAGTCTTCATCATTTCTGGAGCTTTCCAAAACTGGCCTGAAGCCTAGAGGAATGAATATGGATGAAGACCTTGGTTGTTACTTGCATCTTGGTTGTTACTGTGTGTTTTTGATTAAGTTTCAGTTTAAGTACACTGGTCTCTTCAAGTTAACATATATATTAACCATGTGAAAGGTGAAGTTATAGAAATACTCAGGTTGGGCTGGGGATTTAGCTCAGTGGCATAAGCACCTGCTTTGCAAGCACAGTCGTGTTTGATCTCTGAAACTGATTTAAAAAAAATACTCAGGTTAAACAGGAAAATACATTTGATGTACAGAAGAGGTTGAATAAGATTAATCTGCACAGCATTTCATATCTTAAAGCATATTACACATTATCTAGTATGATCTTCCTAACACCTAATTTATAAAACAGAAAGAGGATAATGCCTACCTCTAGATAAGGAAATGCATGTTAGGGCAGTAAGACAGGGCTAGGATGCAGCTCAGTGGTAAATCTTTGACTAACATCCATGAGGTCCTGGGGATTGAACCTAAGACCTGAAAACACAGCTATGTCCCTTCCACTGCCCACCACCACCCCCTTGTATTCTGAGACATGATTTCACTAAGTCGCTAAGTTGCTCAGGGTGGAATTGAACTTGTGACTCCCCTGCCTCAGCATGTTAGTGACAGGATTACAGCGGCACCTACCACTTCTGATTCTGAGAACCTCACAAAATAAATAGAACAATTAGGCTTCTGCCTTCAAATCCAGGTTTGTTTAAAAAAAAAAAAAAAAAAAACTGGAGGTGGGGTGGGGTAAATGTGATTATATAGCTCAGGTTGGCCTGGAACTTTCATCAAACCTCTTGCCTCAGCTTCCTGAGCACTGTGATTATAGGTGTGTACCACCACACCTAGCTGCAATGCTTTTTCCTGAAACAGAAAACTGGCTTCAGGGCTGGGGATTTAGCTCAGCGGCATAAGTGCCTGCCTTGCAAGCAGGCAGTCCTGAGTTCGATCCCTGGTACCGATAAAAAGGAAAAAGACCAAAAAAACCCCACAAAAAACTGGCTTCAATTCTAACTTTGCTACAAACCTTGCTAAATAACATAGCTATAGGAAAAAAAATATGCAGAAGAAATCTATGTGATAGCAGGGCATAACAGCACTCTTCTGCAATCACAGCACTTGCGAGGCTGAGGCAGGACCACTACAAGCTTAAGGCCATCCTGAGTTCATTGTGAGTTGAAGACCAGCCTGAACTGCATATTGAAACCCTTTCTTGGGCCAGTGATTTAGCTCAGTGGCATAAGCACCTGCCTGGCAAGCACGAGGTGATGAGTTCAATTCCCAGTACCACAAAAAAAAAAAAAAAAGAAATCTTATCTCAAAAAACAAAACAAAAACAACAAAAAAAGAGAGAAATCTATGTATCTAAATGCCAAATGTGATTTTAAAAATAAATAGTAGTTTAGAATTTTCCCTCAAGCTGATAAAACAACTCAAGTAGAAGTAATATCTAATTCTCAAATAACTGTCATGGATGTTTTTGTGGTACTAGGGACTGAACTGAGAGCCTTTGTACTGAAATAAGTTGTTACATCCCCAGCCTTTTTTTATGTTTTGAGACAGGGCCTTGCTAAGGTACTAAACTGCCCAGGCTAGGCTCGGCTCAAACTTATGATTCTCCTGCCTCAGGTTCCCAAAAAATTAGGTTACAGGAATATCTACCTTGCCCAGCTCAAATGTAATAATTAAAAAAAAGAAAAAAAAGGCTTGGGTGGACTGAGGCAGGAGGGTCTGTGAAATTTAAAGAGATTCTATGTCTCTCACATACACACCCCAGGGTGATTTTTAAATATTTTAAAAGTTAGTTTTTGAATAAAACCCATTAGGAGAATTTAAGAGAGTTATTTTTAAAAGAGGAAGGTAGCAATAAAGTACTCAATAAATAGTAAAATATTCATTTAAAAATGGTATAGTAGTAGCTGGGAATGATGAATGCCTATAATCCCAGTTATTAGGAAAGTTGAAGCCAGAGGATCTGTTGAGCCCACAAATTTGAGACCAGCCTAGACAACAGGGAAAATGCCTTCTCAAGAAATAACCCCCCCCCCCCCATGGCTGGGGATTTAGCTCAGCGGCATAAGCACCTGCCTTGCAAGCAGGCAGTCGTGAGTTCGATCCCTGGTACCGATAAAAACGAAAAAGACCAAAAAAAAAAAAAAAAAAAGAAATAACCCCCCCCCCAAAAAAGAGAGAAATAAACCAATAAATAAAGTGGTACAGTATTAGATACAAACATCTCTCACTAGGAAAAAAATACTTTTTTCTGAAAGCAGTCCTACTCACTTCAGGTAAGTACAATGGCATTCGGTTTGTACAAAGGTAACAAGACTACAGTACTCCCTTCCTCATATAATTACATCTTCCTCTGATCACCAAACACCAGAAACTGAGAAAACACTTTTTACTCTTCTGTGTAATTCTTCTCCCTTGTACATACATCTGTATCGTTCAAAATGAGTGGAAGCAGAACGGTAAGGAAAAAGAACCGGAGAATGAAGTACAGTATTTCACCCTTCCTCACCAAATCCAATTGATCCTTGTACAACAGAGCTCTAAGTAATCTTCACACAGCCGATTCCTACTGGATGGAAGGTATGAGGGTATCAATCTGATTTTCTTTGGTCTAAATTCCATCAAAAGGAAAGAGTTCCACATCTGGTGCTTCATGGTCAAATTTCCTATTGCTAAGGAAACAATGATAAATGATTTCACTCTTCATCAAAAAATACTCTTGACAACTTTTGTAGATTAATTTAGGGAATTCTGAGGCAGGCAGGATGGTGCATGCCTGTATTCTGGGCACTCTGGGAGGCTGAGGCAAGATAACAAGTTACAGTCCAGCCTTGGCAACTCAGTGAGATCTTGTCTCAAAACAGTGCAAAGGCTCTGGATTCATGGGGTACAGAGAAAGAGAAAAAGAGAGACACACCTGCAATCCTAGCTCTCAGCATGCTAAGGTAAGAAGATCACCAAGTTGAGGTAAGCCTGGGCAACATTACGAATTCAAAGCCAGCCAGAACTATACAGTGAGACGCTGTCTCAATAAAGAAGGGGGGAGGGGGAGGAAAGGGAATATGAACTGTGAAAGGATATGCTTCATTTCCACTGGGGGAAAGAAAAGTGAGAGTAAAAAAATATACCATTTAGAGAACAGTCCTAGATACCTTACCTTTGCCTTTGCAAAGTGCTTTGAATTTGTAAAAAATTTGAAACATACTACTTGTTAGTTTTGAACTACTTGTGAAGTATGCAAGGAAAACAACTACTACTCTCATTTTTTTAGGAAGATGAATAAAATATTTCAAAACAATTAATGACTTGCCCAAAGTAAAAAGATTAGTAATTGGTTTTATTGAAACATGCCAGGTCTTTGTCTTATAGTCCGGTGATTACTTTGGCATTGCTAAGTGCTCAGGCAATGAAGATGAGATTACAGAGTTCAGCAGTGATTTGTCCAGTGGTTGACAGTAAAGTCTCCTCTTTGTCCTTTCATCGACTGGAAAGACAACAGTATCCAAGCCTGACAGGGGGACCTTGATAGTTTGAATTGTGTTCCACACGATCAGAGAAACTTCTCTAGTAACATATTATAGAAACGATCCCTCAAAGTATAGCCTTATGGTAAATGTCCTCAAATGATGATGAAAGTGTCGAAGTTTTGGTTACCGGCCTGTGGTGCTGCTGGGATGAAACTTTAGCAAACAATCTTCCCTCCTTCAATTATTTCAGGTATTCTGTCACAGTAACAGAAAGCTGACTAACACAGGATCAGTAGAAAGGAGGCTATTAATAACATATACCAGAATGTAACATTTATTAATATGAAACACTAAAGTAGTGATAGTACTAACAAAGGGAATATTCAAAACAAAGTCCTAAGGAAAAGAATTTTAGTGCTAATTTTAAATGATCAAAACCTTCCCATAGGAGTATATTCTTATAGGGCAATTCCAGAAAAGTCAAGGCGGCACTCTGAGATTTTTGTGAATCAGTTTAATATATGTCCATAGGTAGTTCATATGAATGCTTAAGTTACAAAATTAGCTGCCATCGTCCAAATGTGTGGGACTTTAAGAAAGCTTGTATTACTCAAGAGAGCTAAGCATATTAACTTTGATTTCTCAAATGTGTTTCATAGGTTTGTAAAACAACCCTAATTCTAGAATTATATTGCTTTAATTAATTGTGTTATTTTTTGTCACTATAGTAAGTTAGATTCATGAACTGTTAAAAATATTACATTTGCACCTCCTAGTTTACATATTTCTGCTGTAACCTAGAGAAAACCCATACGGAAAGTTCCCATGCAGCCACAAAGACAGCAGCACATGCTGTTTTCACAGCAACTCATTGTTATTGCTCAAATAGACTTGCACATAAAACATCAACAGTGAAAACCCCATCACCCCATACACACTAAAAAAGCCCAATGCTTTCCAATCCCCAGCAAAAATTACCTGGTACAAACAGTAATTTAAAAAACGCTTGCTTAGTAAGAAGCATTTATAAAATGCAGAGATTTGAACAAGACAAATGCTTGTGCAGTTAGATGGGTCTCTTCCCAAGAGTTTCTTCCTCAAAAGGCAGAAACAGCTCCTAATAGTTTAGGAAAGCTCACTTTTAAAATATTTATGCATATTTATGGCTACTTCATTGAAAGACCATACTCAGCCTCTACAGTAGAAAAACACACAGGGAGAAACAAAGGTACACAGCCCTCAAACAGAGAATACAGCTTCTCCATGAACATCCAGTAAGTTGCAGCAACCTAGAAGAAAAATGTGACCACACATACCAATGATCTGATTGCCAATCTGGATGAAGCAGTTAATTTGTCATGCATTTGTTGCTGAAGAAAAAGAAACATATAAGCACTTAACATATAGCATTCACAGTCATTAGCTCACAACTATCAGGTAAGAAGAAAAACTGCTCCTTTACTATCTAGCCCTAGTTTTCCATGTAGACAACAGTGTCCTAACAGCTACAGACCTTCCTATAATACTGTCATTATCCCCTCCCACCCATAAAACACACACTGTACTGTTTTGAGCCCTTGAAATTCCATCACCACATAGTGTTCTATATTTTACTTTTGCACAAGTTTAATGTACACACAGAAGAAAACACCAAGCAATGTTTATTGTGCAATTCCAGTAGTTATTTTTGGAATCATGGTTTAAAAGTCAATTTCCATTGTTGTTCAAAATGCCTAGTTTAAACAAAAAGCAACTACCTAATTATCTACCCATAACTTTAATGTTTTTCAAACACTAAAGTAATAAAAGCACTGCTGACTAATGTATAATTTAAAATATTTCAAAACTACACATTTTATATCACTTTTATAAAATAATCAAAATAATTTGATTATCTACAAGAAAATTATGGAAATACAGCCCTTTCAAATTTATCTACAACTTCTGTAAAACTTCGAACCAACAGCAGAATAGATAATGAAATATGATTTCCCAGGTGCCAAGAAGTGTGAAATTTATGATGAGATGGACTCAGTTTTTATTTTCCATGAACTGAGCTCACAAGTGGCGTTAGGACTCAGATCTCCGGGATTTTTCTACATGGCTTTCACTTTGATTTGTTTCATTTTCATTTGCTTTTTCTCCAGCTTCTTTTGCTCACGCCTTAAAGCAGCTTCCTAGGAGACAGGGAAAGAGAAAGAAAGAAAAAGTCTAAAATAAGTCATAACCCTAAGTTTAAAAAAAAATTCAAAAGCAGGATACTGCCTGTATTATTTAAAAAGTTAGGCTTGCTATATAAATAGCTTTTAACAATATCTATGAAATTGCTAGTAACTACACTGGTAAATAAAAATTACATTAACTTCAAATGAAGAACTCAATTTAAACTGAAACCAATTACTGTATTTAGCCAGACTCTATAATTCTGATTTGATTTTTCTTATACCTGGAAACACTGGCTCAACATTCATCATACTGTTGAAGTATGACAAGGGTTTGTACTTAAAGTTCACAAAACCTTCAGAGTCTTGTTTCATCACACCATTCACTCTAAATCTCTTTATATTTGTACAGACAAGCATACCTGAGAACAGTATTTTAATACAGAAAGTTCAACTGGGAATTTTTATTGTATTTGTATTTAGGAATTATGGGACCGGGGATGTAGCTCAGCAGCATAAGCACTTGCCTGGCAAATGCAAGGTTCTGAGTTCAATTTCCAGTACAAAAAAAGGAACTATGAGGTTATACAGAAGAGGAAGATGCTTCAGGTTGTTGTTATCAGCCATGACAAGTGGTTTACAGTCATCAGTGGAAACATTTAATTGAAACTTTTTTCAGAAATAATCTTAAACTTCATGTTTTTCTAAAGGAAATCTGGGTAGAAAAAAACCGATCAATACACTCCTCAAATGGTACAGGAGCAAGACAAGAAGAGGAAAAGGAGAAGTATGCAATATATACAGTTTTTCATAGTATAAACTCCTGGTTGTGGAACTACAGACTGTTAGGATCCCCCACTAAGTAACAAAGATTATCTAAATATACTGCTGTGTATCCTTAATGTTTATCCATTCACAGCTGTCTTATTGTGTAAGTAGCTTGAAAAACTGAAAGATCAGTATTAATGGCACTTTTATTGGAAAACACATTGTGAGTTTTGATTCTAAAAGCAGGAAATAACCTTTGTCCTCTGGCAGTGCTATTGCCTCCTAAGAGCCCGGGGGTATGAAAGTTATACTATTCTAGTGCAGTTATATAAAATGGTTAAGGTACTCTCTCATCATCCCTACCACTATCTCAACCATAGTAATTCCTCCTCAAGCCTCCCATATTATATCGTACATATACCCATGTATAAAACAACTGATACACAGAATACAGTATCATGGTTAGAAATACATTTATGTTAAATAAGTAGGGTGATGCATGCCTGTAATCAATCTCAGCAATTGGGAGGCTGAGGAGGAGAGTTGTGAGTTTAAGGTTAGCTCCAGGAGTTTAAGGCAGCTTGAACTATTTCATTAGCCACTTTCAAAAATAACAAACAACAACAAAAAAACTCCAAAATGGCCATGTGTAGTACACACCTATAGTCCCAGAACTTGGGAGGCTGAGGAAGGAGGATCACTGTAAGTTTGAGGCCAGCCTTGGCTACGTAATGAGTTCAAGGCCAGCCTAAACTACATAGTGAGACTGTTTAAAAAGTTTTTTTTATATGTATATAAATATATACGTATTTACCTACATATATACCTAAATATTTTTTATGAAGAAAATGATCCTAGTATATCTGCATATATGTTCATAAATATGTATGTATTTATATACCTAAATATTTTTATGAAGAAAATGATCCTAGTATATTTTCATATATGTTCGTAAATATGTATGCATTTATAGTAATTTATAATTGGTAGGTAGATAGAGACCAGGACTTTCTCGCAGGAAATAAAAGCAGCACAAATGTGAGAAGACATCATTTTCTTGAAAGACTGTCACATTTTTAACATTAAAAAGTTGTAGAAAAGTACTTTAACATGATTTCCATTATGAAAAGAGATATATACACTAGGCTCACAGATGGATCAGAGAGGGAAGGCTTGAAAAACTTATTATTTTTATTTTCACAAATGAAGGTTAATTTTAATTTCTGTGTACATCCTTTATATTTTTCAAGTTAAATATATAAGAAAACAAAACAAATGAAAAGCACTATTAGCAGGGACAAGGAGTTCATCTCATCTGTATGAATGAGGAATTCAACTGATCAATCCAGGCTTTCACTCAATGCTACATCTCCAGCTGTTTTTTAGTGTGTGTGTGTGTGTGTGTGTGTGTGTGTGTGTGTGTGTATGTGTGTAAGGGAGGGTCTAAATCATTAAACTGCCTAGGCTAGGGTTAAACCTGCAATATTCTTACCTCAGCAGGATTACAAGTGTGCACCACAGCACTCAGCTCCTGTGTAGATTCTTTATGTACATACATTAAAAAGTCATTTTCATTTATAAAGACTGCATAAGCAAAGTTAAATTTTTAGGAGAAAACTGCCCATTAACTAACCCAAACCAGATTTAAAAAAAAAAAAATCACAAGAGCGAAGAGGCATCACTTTGGCACTTCACCCAACAGCATCAATGATGCTACTGGCAAAGATGCTACTGTGGTGCCACATAGCTGCTCATGTTTTCATATTTTCTTGCCAGCAGGTCTTTTCTCTAACAAATTTTTTTTCTACTGGATATTATTATTCAAATTAACAACTTTGAGAACTCTGTGTGTGTATGTTTTTTTTTTCCATTTTTTGAGACAGGGTCTCACTACAGGCTAGCCTTGAACTCAGTGACCCTCCTGCCTCAGCTCTCCAGTGCCTGAACTACAAGCCACCACACCCAACTGTGCTCCTCTATTTTGACTAGCATTTACAAGTTATACTGTATTGTATCATATTCTTTTTATTTTTTGCATTTACAGAAACTCAGAAATTCTCCAAAACTGATATATGCAGCACTGAAGGGGAACAAACCAAAAGCTACACACCCAAATTACGCAGTACTTATCAAGAAAGTAAACAAAATGGATCAATAACATTTGGCAAGCTCACAGAAGATATAAGAAAACAGATACTGAGCCAAGTGAGCATTCAGCAAGTCTGTAAAGGGCGCTAATAAAAAACTAGCAGATTTTAACAAAACAGTGCCAAATATGAATGACAAACATAAAAAACAGGGGCTGGGGGTTTAGCTCAGCGGCATAAGCGCCTGCCTTGAAAGCAGGCAGTCGTGAGTTCGATCCCCGGTACCGATAAAAAGGAAAAAGACAAAACAAAACAAAACATAAAAAACAATTTAGAGCCCATAAAAAAGCTTTCAAATAGAAATTCAGGAGGTTTAAAAATTCTATTGAAAGAATGGGCAGCAGAAGTGACCATTGTGAGGACAGAGTATGAGAATTAAAAGACAGAGCTGCAGGAACCAATTAATTAAATACATTTTTCTTCCTCTTTTTTTTTTTTTTTCCTGTCTTTTTTAAACACTGGGTCTTGCTTGCAGTTCAGGTTGGTCTTGAAGTCACCCTGCAGCCCAGGCTGGCCTCAAATACCCAGCAATCCTCCTGCCTCAGCCTCCTGAGTGCTGAGATTACAAGCATGAACCACCATGCCTGGCAAAATAGCTTAAAAAAACCAAGAGAAAGTGAAAAATGGATCCACCAGCTCCTAGATGACACAAAGATAAATCTAAGGTTAACTGGAATTAATGAAAAACCAGAAGACAGCACAAATGGCATTAAAAAACCTGTTTAATGAAGTAACAGCAGAAAAATTTCCAAATAAGGGAAAAGCATTTAAACATTCAGATAAGGCATATGGAACTCCATAGCCATGATCAGAAAAGAACTTCTCCACAACACCTTAGTCAAAATCTCTTATCTCCAATACAAGAACAGGATCTTAAAAAGCAGCTAGAGAAAGCAAGGAATCACTTATAAGGGTAAGCCTATTATAAATACAGGAGACTTCTCAATACAAACCTCAAAGGGCAGGAGAACTTTGAATGAAATGTGTTTTGTTTTGTTTTGTCTTCTTGAGACAAGGTCTCACTATGTAGTCAGGCTGACCTTGGGCTCACTTTGCAGCCCAGGCTGGTTCTCAAACTTGCAATGATCCTCTTGCTTCAGCCTCCCAAGTACTGGGATTATAGGAGCATACCACCACAACTGGCTTGAATGAAATGTTTTAAGCCCTAAAAGAAAACAATTTCCAACCTAGGCTGATTTATTCTGCAAACCTATGTTTGAAAATTGATGAACTTCAAGATATTCGTTACCACCAAAAATTTCAAGTTCTCTAAAAAATTCCAGAATAACCTAGAAAGAGACAATGAGTCCAACAATGACAAAAGGTCTACTAGAATAACTAAACCAGGTAGAGTGAGTTGTTAAGTATAAGGGAAAGATACAGAATCAGCAACAGGAAAATAATACAGTGACAGGAATAAGTCAATACTATCAGTAATGACAATGTAAAAGGTCTCAATTTTCCAATCAAAAGATACAGACTGGCAGAATGGCTCAAGAAACAAAATCCAATGGTATGATATACAAAAAACACACTTAACACAAAACAAAACTATAAGGGGAAAAAAAAAGACAGGAAACATGATTCCATTCAACAGAAACCTGAAAAAAGGCAAGTGTGGTTATCCTATATTGAGACAAAGTAAACTTTAAGCCAAAACTGATCAAGAGGCAAAAGATGGTCATTACATACTGGTTAAGGGACTGATACATCAGAAAGAGATAACAATTATAAACATATATGCAATGAACAAATGATACATCCAACTTTATAAGACAAGTACTACTGGATATCAAAGATGAGATAAATATAACTACAATTACAGTGGGGGACCTCAATATGCCGCTATCAAAAAAAGGTCAGCCAGACAAAATAATCAACAGATATCAGAGTTGAATATAACCTTTGTACAACTGTTAGTAGATATCTACCAAGTGTTCCACCAAATGACGAAGAATACACATTCTTCTCAGCAGCACGTAGAACTCTCTCCAAAAGAGACCACATACTAGCCAACAAAACAAGCTTACATAAATGTAAAAGAACTAAAATTATACCATCATATTACCAGATCATAGCACAATGAAACTAGAAATCAGTGACAAAGGAAACACAGAAATTATGCACATGTATAGAAACTAAACAATATGAGCCAGCGATATAGCTCAGTGATAAATCACCTGCCTAGGAGTGCAAGGTATTGAGTTCGATTTCCTGTACAAATAACAAAAAAATATACTATTAAATAAACAATGAACTAAAGAAGAAATCAAGGAAGAAATGAGACAGTTTGTAGAACTAAACAATAATGCAGTTCAACATACCAGTTTATGGAACACAACTCAAAGCTCTCCTGGAAGGAAATTTATAACTGTAAATAACATATTGCAAAAACAGCCAAACTAATTTGAGGTCCTAGAAAAACAATCCAAATCTAAAGCCAGCAGAAGCAAGAACATTAAAAAGATCAGAGCAAAAAAATCAATGAGATTGAGGGGAGAAAAGTACAAAAAAACCAAAAAACCAAAAAACCAATGAATCAAAGAATCGGTTCTTTGAAAGAAAAAAATATACAAATCCTTGGCAATCTAACCAAAAAACAAACAAACAAAACTCAGAAAAGTCTCACATCAATGCAATTAGAAATAACAAAGGTAGCCAGGCATGGTGGTACACGCCAGTAACCTCAGCACTTGGGAGGTTAAGCCAAGAGGATTGCAGTTGAGTTCTAGGTCTGCCTGGGCTCAGTAGTGGGTTCATAGCAAGACTGTTTAAAAAAAAAAAAAAAAAAACCTAAGACTACAACAGATACTGCTGAAATAAAAGATGATTATCAATAACTTCACAAACCTCTACATCAGTAAACTGCAAAAATAAAACAAAGGAAAAATTCCTAGATACAATTGCATTACCAAAACTGAACCAACAAGTTTAAAAACCCAAATAATTCAATAGCAGGCAACGAAACAGATGCAGTAAATAAAAAAACCTACCAATTAAGAAAAGGGCAGGTCCTAATGGATTCACTGCTGAATCCTACAAAAACTTCAGAGAAGATCTAACACCAATACCCAAGCTTTTTAATGAAACTGAAAGAAGAGTACTCCCAAAGTCATTTCTGGACATTATTATTATCCTGATTCCAAAACCAGAAAAGGATCCAGTCAATCAGAACTACAGATCAATCTCTTTGATAAATATAGATGTAAAATTTCTTAACGAGATACTGGCAAACAGAATGCAATGAATCATCAAAAAGATTGTACATCATGACAAAGTAGTCTTTATCCCAGAAATGCAAGCATGGTTCAATATATGCAAACCAGTAAATACTGGCTAACACATCATATAAACAGAAGCAAGAACAAAAATCACATGATCATCTCAATGGATGTAAAAAAACCTTTGACAAAACATATACTTTTATAATAAAAACACTGAAGAAAAGAGTTATAAAAGGATCTTAATCTAATAAATCATTTATGACAAACCTACTCTCAACATCATATTAAATGGGGAAAAGCTGAAATTTTCTAAAATCTGGTTCCCTTTCACCATTCCTATTCAACATAGTACTTAAAACATTAGGAAGAGCAATTAGGTAAAAACAACAAAAAAGGAAGATGTATATGAAAGAAAAAAGTAAAATTATCATTTACACATGACACAATCCCTCCAAAATTCACCAAAACTCTTAAAATTAACCAAATTTAGTAATGTAGCAGACACAAAATTAACACATACATACACACAGATCAATAGCTTTTCTTTACACCAATAGTGAGCCTCTTAAGAAAGAAAGTTATAGTGAAAATGGCCATACTTCCAAAATTAATATACAGACTTAACACAATCCTAAAAAAAATATCAAACTTCACAAAATTGGAGAAAACAATCTTTTGTAAATGTTTCTGTCATTGCTGGGACAAAATACCTGACACCCAAAATTAAAGAAAGAAAAGATTATTTAGCTCACAGTTTGTAGAGGTTTCAGTCCACAATCAGACGGCTCAAAAGCAGAGTAGCATAGCACAAAGGCAACACTTCGAGGCAGGCTACCCAGGGTGGATGTAGTACTCACACCACTTTTTTGCCCTCCTCTTGCACAGGCTGAGGATGTTTATAAAGTAAGTACCCTGGTTCCCTGCTAAGTCACTCAGTTAAACTTCTGAACATCTCAAGTTGACACAATGTATCAACCATAAACAACATGGAACCAGAAGGGGCCCAAAGCAATCATGGGTAACAAAAGCATTACATCCTAGACTTAAGGTTGTATTATAGAGTTACAGTGACAAAAACAGCATGGTACTGGCCCAAAACACAGGTATCAGTGGAACAGAACAGATGCAGCAACTACCCCAAGCACATTGGACCATTTGATTTTAGATAAAGAGGCCAAAAACATACATTGGAGGAAAGACAGCCTCTTTAATGAGTGGTATTGGGAAAGCTCTCCTCATACAGAACACTGAATCTGGACCCAAACATTTCACGATGGACTAAACTAAAAGCAAATGCATCAAAGAACTAAATATTAAAATAGAAAGCATTTAATCTGTTGAATGATAAAAAATTTGGCAAGGATTTTCTGAAGAGAACCCAAACCAAATCAAATCGCTTCTGCACAGCTAAAGAAATAATCACTAGAGTGAAAAGACGACCTGCACAATAGGAAAAATATTTTGCCAGCTATTCCCGAGACACAGGATCAATATCTAAAACATGTAAAGAACTTCAAAACATTAGATGCCTCTCCTCCAAATAAAATACCCAATCAAAACATGGGCTATTGAAATCAATAGATACTTTACTGAAGAAGTGTAAACAGCCAATAAATGCATGAAAAAAATGCATGATATGCTGGCCCTTAGAGAAATGTAAATTAAAACACTGAAATTCTACCTTACTTTAATTTTCCATTAAGAGATCAAATAATAATGAATGCTGATGAGGCTGCAGGAAAAAAGGAACCCTTCTGCACTGTGAAAATTAGTATGGAGATTCCTCAAAAAACTAAAACTAGGGCAGGGGATGTAGCTCAGTGGCATAGCACTTGCCTGTTAAGTATGAGGCCGAGTTTGATTCCAAGTACAAAAAAAAAAAAAAAAAAAAAATCCCTAAAAGTAGAAATTCCATTTGACCCAGCTATTCCCTCCACAGGTATGTTCCCAAGAGTTAGACATTATATTGCAGTAATACATGCATACCCTATGTACAGTAGCACAATTTATAATAAATCTTGCAAGCAGCCTATATGTCCATTAACAGAAAAACAGATAAAGAAAATGTATTTATAGACAGTGAAGTACTATTCTGTCATAAACTTTCGAGTCATTTGTAGGAAAATGGGTGTACTTTGAGTGAAATAATTATTAAATGAAATAAATCAGACACACAAGCTTAAATATCATATGCTTTTTATTTTATGAGAAACCCAAAATATAAAGATCTAAATAAAAGATGGATAATAGAAAGTAGAAAGACTGATTTTTCTCAAATGGAAAGGATCAAGAAATGGAGGGAAGAGGGATGAATAAAAGGAAATAAGATATGTTATGCACATGTGCCAACTCTACACAAGGAACGTAAACATTATATACTGAAAACATGTACTAACAAAAAGGCGGATATGGGATTCACAAATGAAAAAAAAAGTAAGTTCAACTTCCCAAGACCCTATTTTGCAAATGAAAACAACAACAAAAAAATAGCTAAGGATATAGATTAATGAGAAGCCTCTGGGTTCAATCCCCAATACCACAAAAACAAACAAAATAAAAAGCCACATAAAAATATTAAATATTCTAATTAAATCTTATATACCACTATGTTTGGCTTAAAATGGGATTGTGCTGGTAGAAAAGGATAATTCAGATCATTTTCCAGTTCACAAACTTCATCTAGTATGGTTTAAACAGGAAAAAAAAAATCACCCCACCACCACCACCACTGGTACCAGGGATTGTACTCATGACTATGCGTTTGCAAGGCAGGCACTTAAGCCGCTGAGCTAAATCCCCAGCCCCCAAAAAATCATTTTTTATTTATTGTACTTCAACTGACAAGATGTTCTAAATGCTAAAATATTACTAATCTTTAGTTTGTGTACATTTATATACAGAATTACTGCTACTAGCCAATATTGTACAAATAGCCATTCCAACACCAAAAATATTAATTTTACTCCAACAATAAAGAAAATTTCTCTTACCTCCAGCCTGCGTTGCTTCTCAGGATCTTCCTCATTCATGATTCGCTCCTTCTCTGCTCTTTTCTTCTCCTCACGACGCGACTGTGCAGCTTCCTGTCTCTGCACATGTGTCAGTTTCAGGAAGTTCTCTTCTACTCGTGCACGGTTCTTATCCGCTTTTTGTTTGCCCTTTCCCCAAGAAATAGTCTCTTGTAAGAAATCCATTTCTATCCAATAGAAGTCAAGTCTCATTTAGCATTCTTTCATAAAACTATTCCCATTTGGCTTTTCAAGTCAACTAGCAAAGAGTCAATGAAATCATTGATAGCTTGCCCCCCCACCCCGGAAAAGGAACAACAATAAAAGGTGTCAGTTTGTAAAACACGCTTTGGAACTTACTTCTCTGTTGAGTCGGAACTTTTTGGCTTTATCAATAGAATAAATCACCATGTTCATCAAGGGTAGCAAAGCCTCCATATCCTTTGGATAAGTGTTGCCTAAGCCAGGCACTGGAAAAGAAAGCGATTTTCCTACTGAGTTAATAGGATCATTAACATTTTAGAGTAAACAAACTACTTTTTTTCCCCTTCTTCTTGTGTTATTAGGTTCCTTTCTCCAAGTATTTTTGGCAATTAAGATGCAGTGAAAAATAGAAATCTAAACATATAAAAGGTTTTATTATTTATGTTTTATATGGAGCCTTGTAAGTCTTCTACTGCTAAATTATATCCACAGTCCAGTTACAACTCTTTGTTTTCCTTCCTTCTTTTCTTTTGGTTTTGGTTTTTGAGACAGGGTCTTACAATGTAGTTCAGGCTGGGTTTGAACTCATGTACTACAAGCTGGCCTCAAACTTTTGGTGATCTCCTGTCTTAGCCTCCTGGTTGCTGGCATTACAAGAATGCTCTCCACACCTAGCCCAATAGTCGCTTTCTTCAAGAATTTCAGAAATCAACAAGCAGGCATAAGAGGTTTTTGTTTTGTTTCTCAGTATTAGTAATTAGTAGACTTCTGGGCCTTGCACATGCTAGACACTTACTACTGAGCTGCATCCCCAACCCATGGTTTTAATGTAGTTTTATAGCTATCACTTGAGAAGAACAATATCCTTCTTCAGATCATCTCACAGAAAACGAAGAACTCAAACAGGACCCACAACACTTACCATTAAATGTAAACAATAATGTCCGCTTAGTGTCAGGTAGCTTTAAAGGCTGACCTTCCCTGTCACAAAAGAAAAATATATTAAGAGAGCCTAAGAATGACACTTTCCATGCATGCAAATCACCACAGTTCACTTACATGGACAGATGCTTGCAATCAGTATAGTATGTGACTAGGCATCAACAAGTCAAGTACAAACTCAGAGCCTGAAGGAGCTTTAAGATCATCTGTTCCACTTGTCTATCTGATGGATGTATTCCCAAAAGAACTTTATCCTATACGTTAGCACCTTCAAAGACGTTTGCTATAGGAAGGTTACAGTCCATCTCACCTAGAGAATCAGAAATGGGCCTAACAGAATTTTTGTTTTCAGTACTGAGGATTTATCCAGGAGCTTCATATTGAACTATATTCCCAAACCTCTTTAACTTTTAAGATTGGGGCTCCCTAAGTCACTGTATTTCCCAAGATGGGTTCACACTTCTGCCTCAAGTCTCCCAGAGCAGTGGGATCACAGGTATGAACCCCACAGTTGGGGAAAGCATGCTGAATTAGGATCAGAATAAATCTAGGGATAACCTAGTATATAACGTATGGTCAGCACTCTGTACCCATCAATACTGACAGTATCTGCCATGTCAATCAACTGTGGATAAGAAATTTTTTAATTGTGACTTAATGTTTAATGTAGATATTTTTTCTTCTCATTATTTCATTCATTCATGCATTCATTCATTTATTGGTACTGTGAATTGAACTCAGGACCTTGCATTTGCCAGGCAGATACTTGTACCACTGAGCTATATCCCCAGCCTTTCTCATTATTTCTTAAACAAACAGTTTAAAAATGATTTAGATGGGGCTGGGGGTTAAGCTCAGCGGTATAAGCACCTGCCTTGCAAGCAGGCAGTCGTGAGTTCAATTCCCGGTACCGATATAAAAGAAAAAGACAAAAAAAGATTTAGATACCAGTTACATGGTATTATGTATTATAAGTAAAGCATAGGGATGGATATGTAGAAGTTGCATGCAAATTACATGACATTTCACATAAGGGACTTGAGCATTCTCAGATTTTGTTATTGGAAGGAGATTCTGGAACAAAACCCCATGAATTCAGAAGCATGATCTATATATGATTCAGTTCTCTAACTGAAGATTTCTTTGTAATCTTTATCAACGACCCTCTCTCATTTACACAAAACGCTTCCAAATGCTGTAATACCATGATGCTTTATCCTTAGTGTTGTTAAGCAAGGCAAAGACAATACAACACCTCTTAGAGGCACGAAGACACGAATAATCTTGACATACAATTGAAATTCAGAATAAATTTGCTATTGTTTTGGTGCTACGGAAATGAATTTTAATGATATCAGAGATGGAACCAGTGATGCTCTATCAACTGAGGTATATTAATATCCTTTTCTATTTTGAGGTGGGGTTTCACTAAGTTTCCCAGGCTGGCCTTGAACTTGTGATCCTTGTTTCCTGAATAGCTTGGATTACAGGTATGTGCCACCATGCCAGGTCCCAGAATACCTTCTTGTCCTTTTTTTTAAAATGACTGAACCCAGGGCCTTTACACTGAGTTACATCACCAGTTCCTTCAAAAATTTTTGAGACAGGGTCTCACTATGCTGTTAAATTGTTCAGCCTTAGTTCCCTAAAATGCTGAGATTACAGGTCTACACTACAAAGCTAGGTCCCATAAGGGCTTTTAATTGTACTCAACTACACAGTCAATAACAGTAACTTGTAACTTAAAATTTATCAGTTCAAGGGGCTGGGGATTTAGCTCAGCAGCATAAGCGCCTGCCTTGCAAGCAGGGAGTCGTGAGTTCGATCCCTGGTACCAATAAAAAGGAAAAAGACAAAAAAAAAAAAAAAAAAAAATCAGTTTGGTTTTCAAGAGTAAACTAAACTCTTGAAATAGATTGTGAATAGATTGTGAATCCAAAGAACAAATCCAATCCTTAAAACTGTACATCTGAACAATACTGTTATAAACCCAGAAATTTTATAGGCATCGAGGAAACTTGATAATATGTTGGAAGGATATAATCACTCAATTATTTAAAGAAAGAAGACAGAAAAGGCTATAAATTGTAAAATACACAGCTTTGTAATCAAGCACAAAACAAGCATCACAGATTAATGTCATAAATTTAACCACAAAAAACAAAAAAAAAAAAAAAAAAAAGGAGAAAGGGATTAGCAATTTCATTTTCTTAGTATTATCTATTCTGTAAGACTCATCTACTTTACTAAATGGATGATGCAAACATGCAGGGGCATATGCAAAATGGGGGCAGGATAGGCTCATTTATCTCCCATAGGATATTCAGTAGACTCTCATGAATCAATAGTGAAAGAAAGGAAAACTTGGGGAGGTTGTCACCAACTTCCCCCACTCATTTGATATGGGAAACTGTAGAAATATCTTGCAGTGATTCAGCACAAAACTAGTGAGAAAAGTGAATTTTAATACTTTTATCTTATACTTACTCTTGCATAATTTTTGGACCAGAGAATTGGTCTGAAAAATGAACAGATTCAATCTTGTCAGCATAGTGTGTAAGAAAGTGGACCATCTGAAAAAAAAGAAAACAAAATTATGTTTTAAAGGAAGTGTTGACTTATTTTACTTTTCTCACAAAGTTATTCACTCTTTAACCTTCCTACTTTTTAAACGTCATTCAAACCAAAATGTTTTAAAAATTAAGTAAGAATTTTCTCTAAAATGAAACTAGCACGGTAAGTCCCCAACTTATTATTATTATTTTTTTGTCTTTTTCCTTTTTATCGGTACCGGGGATTGAACTCAAGACCGCCTGTTTGCAAGGCAGGTGCTTATGCCGCTGAGTAAATCCCCAGCCCAGTCCCCAACTTATAAATGAGCTCCATTTGAGATCACTGGTTAAGTCAGATTAGGTTGTAAATCCAACAAAGTGACTTTTACACACCTTTGACACAAATATTCAATGTAAAGCATATTTTAACTTTCATAGTTACCTTAAAATGGTTAAGGTCGGGGGAGGAAAAAGACAAAAAAAAAAAAAAATGAAAGTTATTAGCAATTCCACAAACAATTTGCTTTTGATTTAGCAAGAATTTCTTGACTAATCAAATCATCCTTTTGACAAGTTAATCCTCTGCTTAAAGGTATTTTAATATTTGTGTAGGAAAGGAATACGTAACTAGTGTACTGACATAATATAATCTGGCTTTTAGGAAGAGTGTCTCCTCATTGCCAGGTCTGGAAAATGCAAGACTTCTACTGCATTTACCTTTGTATCCATCATTCCCTCTGTGACTTCTCCCATCTCTGACAGGATGGCCAAAGAGTCTGGCAGTCCATATTTTGCTCCAGACTTGGGTTTGTCACTACAAAATTCACTCTAGAGAAAGAAGAAATTGAAAGTAATACACTACATGCTATTTTACGAGGCACAAGTAAATTTTTCCAGAACATGTACTGATCCATTTCAAAACAGTGTTTAACAACTGACTAATATGATTAACTGTCCTATGCTATGAAGCTGGACATCTATGTAATTAAGAGACACAGTTTCTAAAAATGTTTGAGTTGTAACAACTTGACATACCAGATCTTGCATTTCCTTCTGTAGTCGTACCAAAGCCTTTCGTGTGCCAACTGCAAACACGAATGTATCCATGTCTTCATCATTCATGGTTACTTTTATTTGCTTAAAAAAACAAAAAGCTTATTTGTTGACTTCTGTGCTAGGCAGATTTCAAATAGCCCTTAAAATTCCTCCTTCTGGTATATATACGCTTTCCTTGAGTGGGATTTGTAAACATGATAGGGTATCAATCCCACACTTAACACTGTGATAAGGCAGAAGGTCTTTTATGAGGAGGGCATGGGGAGAACCTGATGGGGACTCCAGGAGCTGACTGTGGTTCCCAGTTGACAAGAAATAGCAAGTTAATGGGGACCTATCACCATAAGGAACTTAATTCTGCTAACAACCTGAATGACCCTAAGAAGAGGACATAAAGAAGGAAATTAAGAGTCTGGCTGACACCTTAATTTCAGCCTATTAAGATCCTGAATGCATGCCTGTAATCTCACACTTTAGGAGACTGAGACAGGAGTATAGAAAGTTTGAGTCTAGCCTAGATCACTTAGTGAGACTATTTCTTTCTTTCTTTCTTTTTTTGTCTTTTTGCTTTTTATCGGTACTGGGGATCGAACTCACGACTGCCTGCTTGCAAGGCAGGCACTTATGCCGCTGAGTTAAATCCCCAGCCCCCTTAGTGAGACTATTTCAAAAAAGGGCCTGTAGCTCTAAATTTGTGATAATTTGTTATACAGTAATAAAACACTATCCATATAGGAGTATTTGAGTGAAAAAATTAGGAATAAATAAGATCTGAATTGGACAATGTGGTATAAGAAATACATTTGATTTCTGTCCCAGGTTTCTGGCATAGAATTCCCAAGACCCTCAGAATTTTCTGAATGATAAGTGTGTCTTTTGTTATTGATAACTAACTTCTTTCAATCACTACTGAGTTTACACTAATGCAGTGGCTTAAGATGATCCCTAGATGGTCTCATGAATGGGGCTGCTCAGAGAAAAGTCAATGCTTAGAGGGTAAAGCTTTAAGTTCTAATCAGGACCTCTGGGGACAAGATGGAGGATGAAGACTGTACTCCAGTAAAAGTCTTAACGGATTCAGGGAGCTTTCAAGTTGGTGAACTCAATCCGCTGAAGGATGGGGTGTTCAGAGGGGCATGGGGGAAGTCCTGCACAAAAACCTCTCCTTTATTTCATCCAAAGTCTCTTTTATTTGGCTATAAATAAGTTGGATTTTTTTTTTAGGGGAAAGTTTTATTTCAGCTGAATTGTGTCTTTAATAATAAGCCAGTAAATGTATCACCCCCTCCCTGCCAGTTTTGTTATTATAACACATTAGTGAATCTAAATAGGACAGTGGGGACCCTTGATTTACATTCAATCAGTCAAAAGCGTATGTATGTGGCCTGAGATTTGTGATAGCCTCTGAGGTAGAGGCATTTTGTGGGTTGAGATCTTTAATTTGTGGGATGTGAAGCTAACTCCAGGCAACCAATATCAGAACTGAACTGAACTGACACTTGCTGACCACACCCAGTTGGTATTCAGAGAACCTAAGAATCAATTTTTGGTGTTAAAAAACATTCTCAGGGGGGCAAACAATTGGGTCTGGGAGATAAAGTTATATCTAAGAGTCTGAGCTAATAAAGAATGGCCATATTTTCATATTAATTGTATTATTTAAACATTTAGGTCAAATAATTATCAGAATATGGAGAAAGTAAAATCTTAAAATAAGGGAAGACCTGGCAAGATGGCAGCTTTAAATGTTCTGTTCTTCAAGGATTAATGGGATATTACACAAAGCCAACATCTTAAATACAATCCAGCAAAACAAAAAAATTTAAAAAGCAAATAAAGAATTATGTGTATATTGAAGGTAATTCTATTTTGAGAGAGAGAAAAAAATAGCTGGCTCATTGGAAAAGATTAAATATACTCTAAGAGAGAATAGAAAATGATTAAAACACTAAAGAAAACTTTCTTTTTTTGAGACAAGAGTCTCGCTACGTAGCCCAGACTGGCCTTGAACTTGCAATTCTCCTGCTTCACCCACTTATGTTCTGGGATTATAGACATGTGCTGCCAGGCCTAGCTACTAAAAAATAATTCCTAAAAATAGAGAAAACAGGAGGAGGATACAGCAACTCCTTCCACACCCTTGTGATACTGGGGACTGAAATCAAAGCCTCTGCACTCAGTTGCATTCCCAGCCCTTTTATAATTTTGAGTCAGCATCTTGCAAAGTCACTAAATTGCCGGTGAAGGGCTCCAACTTGCAATCCTCCTGCCTCGGTCCCCCAGATTGCAGGTACATGTCACTATATCTAGCCCTTCTTTCCTTTTTACCTAATATAATGTTTGGTAAGAAAAACACAGGGGTTAGTCTTCCATATTAGCTGATAGGGTTCCAAAATTTAAAGAAATAAGTAGTCAGTGATCATATTAAAACAATTAAAAGATTTTACAACTAAGCCAGGGATTTAGCTCAATGGTGTAAGCATCTGCCTGACAAGCACAAGATTGTGAGTTTGATCCCCAGTACAAAAAAAAAAAAAAAAAAAAATGACTAGCCAAGTATGGTAGTGCACCCCTGCAATCTGAGCACTCATGAGGCTGAGGCAGCAAGACCACTTGAGTTCAAGTTGAGCCTGAAACATATAGCAAAGTCCTGTGTCCTCCCACTCTACTAAGAGAGAGATTTACAACTAAGACTGAAACCTTTAAAACGAGTTTCAAACTAAAAGTTTTTCAAAGTATCTAATTTATTTATATTATTAATGCAGCAATTAGTAAGCAAACACTACTTTGCACATTGACATGCACTCACATACCTCAAGTTCTATTACTTTAAGAAGAAACTCTCCTGCATACTTTTGTAGCAGCGGGAAGTAACACATTTATTGTAAGAATGAGGGAGCTGGGCATAGTGGTACAAGTTTGAGCCCAACCGGGGAAACTTAGTGACATGGCCAGACCCTGTCTCAAAATTTAAAAAAATTAATAAATAACAAAGGCTAGGGATGTAGTTCAGTGTGAAGACCTCAACAATATAGGAGAAAAGGAAAAAAAGGGATGAAGGGAGAGGAATCATAAAGGCATTTCTGATGAAGGGTACAATTTTCAGATTAACATGTTGATTTAATAAAGGAATAAAGGTGCACCTAATAATAAAGATGAACTGTTTTAACTAAAATTATTTATTCAAAGAAAAAAATATTTAGGAAAAAAACCTTACCTTTTTGCCAAAGATAAAAACATACACAGGAACAGAGCTGGATTCCAGGGCAAATTATTTGCGACAACTGTTTTTTCCTCTATCAGGGCTAATTCAGTTGATTTTTGTAGTGACAGGGTATTAATTTTTTTTTCTCCTCCAAAAGGCACACAAAAGCCTCTTGATAGTTGCAAACTAAGTGAAAATTACCTTTCTAAATACAAAAGGATCAATTTTGTGACAAGGGACACAAGTTGCTAGATACTCTAAATACAATCTAGACAGAAATGTATTCAGCGTATATACAAAGATTCAGCAAAAAGATCACATACCACTTGATCACTCACTGGCCTCATCATTCGAGCCAGGACATTCAGTAAATCTTGTCTCTTGAGAAACTAAAAAAATAAAAACACAGTTGCAACCTCCACTTACTATAAACAGCCTTGAATAGGGAGTCATATACTTTTTCAAATATCTTCTACTACACATCTGTCAGTTAGAATACAGCATTTAGAACTCATTTAAAATCAAATATGTGATGATACACTGAATTTAGAGGATCTGAACTCAGATTTAGAAAATAATTATGGGAATATATATTTATGTTCATATAAATAAGATATCATATATATTACCCAGGTTAAATAACATGTAACATGTATAATATAAATAATATATAATAATACAAAATATCTGACAGATGCTTCGTACTTACTCTTAGCTGGATAAGCATGCCCTCACAGCATACTCGGCCAGAACACCACAGGTTATAGATGTGTTCATTCTCCTGGTTCAGCTTTCCTGTGCTTGTTGCTTCTTTGTTAGTTCCATCATCCCCTAAGGGTAGAATGAAATTCACTCAAAATTCTGGGGCATAATCACCACAATGTACTCTATCCTTATCACAGCATTAAAATAGCAATACTTTGCTATGTACAGAATCTGCTCTGGATTGGGATTAATATAGTTTGGCACTGTTCTTTTACTTCTTTGCTATCATTATTTTATGTTAGATCATTTATGAGTTCTGTATTCACTCCTCCACAAATTTGGTGTATTTCTCAAGTTTATTCACTCATCAGTTCATCTAGTTTTGAAGGGTCACTCAATGTCATCTTCATCAGCTAATCATTCTCAAACAGGATTTGTTGATAAGTCCTAAATTTTCTGTTATAGCTTCATTAATTTTAGTTACTTCTCCTGATAGAGGACAAGAGAATTTACTAACAGTTTTCTCACTTACCAGAACACCAAACACATCTTACTTTTTCAATTTTCTACTACATGCAGGAAAACTAAACATTTCCTAAAGTTTTCCGTATAAAATTTTCACTATGCCTTCTCCCTACAGTTATGCATTCATGTTTCTCTGTGAATTTATACTGGGAAACCAGAGCAGATAGTATCTATCCTCAACTATCAGAATGTAGCAGATACCATGGCTCTGGGCAGGCTCCTCCTTTGCTGGGCCACGTGTGCTAGGGTTGCGATGTAGGAGGAAGTGAGGTTTCCCTTTGACTTTTTTTTTTTTTTATGTTTGCAGTGCTGGTGATGGAACCCAGGGCTTCCCACAGGCTAGGCAACTGTTAAGCTACAACCCCAGATATTTTTAAAATTTAAGACAAGGTCTTGCTAAATTGACCAGGATGGCCTTGAACTTGTAAACCTCTTAGCCTCAGCCTTTCCAGCACAGGGGATTACAGGCATGTGCCACTATACCTGACTCAGTCCGTATTTTCTTTAATAGATAAACTCTTTTATAGTTTTGGAAGCAGAAAGCCCTTGATCAGATAGCTCCGTTTTTTTGACCTCTGGTGGGAGTTTCATGGCTGATGCCATCATTATGGCTGGAGTGTACAACAGGAGCCAATAGAGTGGGGAGGGGCTGGTCTCATCCAACACATTTTTTAATTAGTGCATGTTGATTGTACAGATGAGTTTTATTCTGCACATAATTTAATCTTTGCCCCATCACTCTCCTCACTCCCCCCCCCAGCATCACATGTTTTGAGGGAGTTTCAAAGTACATAATGTATTTTGATTATATTCATGCCTTTTGAGTCCATCATTTTTAATGGAAACATCAAGAATTTTAAAAGTAAGCCAGGGGGCCAGGGATTTAGTTCAGCGGCACAGCCCCACCTGGCAAGCACGAAGTTGTGAGTTCAAACACCCCCCCCCCAAAAAAAGTAAGCCAGGCACAGTAGTGAACAGTTATAATCTCAGTTACTTTAGAGGATAAGGCAGACATCAAGTTCAAGGCCAGCTTGAGCAATTTAGCAAAACCCTGTTTCAAAATAAAAAATGTAAAAAGGGCTATGATTGTAGCTCAGTGACTCCTTGAATTCAATTTCAGTATCACAAAAACAAAAACTAAAATAAATAAAGTAATGGTCTGTGTATGGTAGCATATGCCTATCATCACAGCATTCAGGAGGTGGAAGCAGGAGGGTAGCTGCAAATTTGAGTCCAGGCTGGGCTACATACCAAGACTCTACCTCAAAAAAAAAGAACAAAGACTCTGGTACTACAAGGAAATGAACAAAGAGAGAGCAAAGAGTCAAAGGCTGCTTATTTTCCTTTTCTAATTTCCTCAGCAAGAACTGTGAACTTTTTGGTATTAAAGAGTGTATTGAAGACAGTATGGACTTTGGAAACACATAGATAATGCTGTAATATCATAGTTGCAATTTAATAACTTAAACAAGTTTTAACATTGCTGTTCAATTCCCACACTCTGAAAACTGAAAAGTAAATCCAATGAGCAATAGTATTGTTACAAAGATAAATATAAACAATATACACAAAATATCTAGCACAATAAAGTGTGCTAAAAAGTACAGCACATGGATCCCTGTATGCTGTTCAAGAGAAACAAACTTTCTATAAGACATATTGAATGAAAACATTCATCAAGCTACTTAAAATGTCAAATCTTCAATTCAACCAGAACTTTATCAACTTGTTTTAATAACACTAATTTCCATTTCTATTTATTTATTGAGACAAGGCCTCATTATGTAGTTCAGATTTGCAGATCAGATTTGTAGATCAAACTTGCAGTGACCTTACTGCCTCAGCCTCCTAAGTACTGGGATTATAACTGTGCACCTCCATTAGTGGCAACACTGATTTTGTTGAAAATTTTAGAGCAATTATACTGATGACAAGTGAAAGATTATGAAATTATTTCCTGAATCTATAAAATCTAATAAAAATAGGATCCTTGGAGGAGAATAAAACATTTTTTGCAGTCCATAAAGTAGCTAGATGCTTATGAAGAGTAGAATAAACTGTTCTTACCAGATTGTTTTCGAGTAGGCAGCTCATCTCATATTGGCCTTACCTACTAATGTAAAGTTGCTCTCCAAAAGCTCTCGATGAGTGTTAAACCAGGCCTGAGCAAGGCGACTATTTTTATTCTTTCCAATAATATAGTTCATGATATAGGCGAGCAGACCAGTCACCATCAAAATTTCTAGATAGTAACTTTCCCAACTGTTTTGGAGGTGGGCAGGAACCTAAAGGAGAGAAATCATTCTATTCTATTTATTTATACCAGGGATCAAACTGATGACCTCATATGTGCCAGGAATTATTCCATTTAAAGTTGGCTGAACAATTAAGATGAAAAATGAGAAACCCATGTACAACTGTACATGTATACAATTTTATTTTGAAAAATATACTCATTTTGGTTTTCTAGGTCAGCACTGTAAAAGATTCTTTAAGGAAATAAAGACAGTCAAATGGGATAAAAATGTGGCAGACCTTTTGTATTTAACTTGGCTCTGAGTCCCGCCCAAAACTATATCCAATGTATGTCCCTTTCTTTCTTTCTCTTTGTCTCTCTCACTCCTTTTTTTTTTCCTTTGAGACAAAGTCTTGCTACATAGCCTAACCTGGCCTCCAGCTCATGGCACTTCTGGCTCAGTCTCCCAAGTGCTGGGACTATAGGTGTGTGCACCATACCCAGTTTATTTCTTAGAAAGACCAGAATAAAACATAAGAGTTGCTTCTCTAGGTGTGACTATATATCAGAAAAACTCTTCACCAGTTCCCATTATGATATTATAACAATATCACTACCAGATGTCACTAGTTATATTTCTGGGACTAATGACAAAAAGGTATTTTATTGGTTAGTTTAGAATTCAGAATTCTGAATACCTACATCAACAATTGTTATTGGGTCCTTATTTTTGCTGGATGAAGTATCTGTTTTGTCTTCATAACCTTCGAATTCTTCATCATCATATGGCTCACTCTCAGTATCTCCCTCCTATAAAAATGAAATACAATGTTTTCTTCTATAAATGCTACCAGCAATTGTGTCTCATCCTGTGGCCAATATTTGTAGAGGAAAACAGAACTTACAAGCAGCAAGTATGGAACACAGAGATACTATATTAGTTTAACAAAATATTACAGAATCCAAATTTCAGTTATAAGGTAAATTCTGGCACCTAATATACAGTGTAACACAGTACTAACAGTTAACAGTGTATTGTATATTTCATATTTGCTAAGAAATTAGATGTTAAGTATTCCCACTATATACATACAAGTAGGAGGTAAGATGAACATGCTAATCACTTCACAATATATATCAGGACATCATATCCTAAAATTTAAAAATATGTAACATTCATTTGTTACTTGTACTTCAAAAACTAAAAAACACAAAAGTGAGGATGATTCCTCACACTGCTGAACCCAAAGTTCTACATGATAATTCTCACCTGAACATAACTTTTCAGTCCCTCTTAGCAAGAACATTAATCCAAAAGAAAAGTACGATTTACATTATCCATACAAAAGGTGGGACTATATAACAAAACATTTACAAGAGCACTACTTACTGAGGAGAAACTAAAGATTCCAGAGAGTAATTTTTCCTTAGATATAGGTCTGGGGGGGCTGGGGATTTAGCGCAGCAGCATAAGCGCTTGCCTTGCAAGTGTGTGGTTGTAAGTTCGATCCCCAGTACCGATAAAAAAAGAAAAAGACAAAAAAAAAAAAAAAAAAAAAAAAAGATATAGGTCTGGGGAAAATGCTGATTACAAATTCACCACCCTTTAAATTTCCCAGAAAACCAATAAAAACAAAAGAGCCCCACCTGGGTATCTGCATCTTCAAAATCTCCTTCTTGGTTTTCATCTTGCCCTTCTAACTCCACAGTGGTCTCATCTTCATCATCTTCAGTGGTTATCAACCGTGGAGGAGATTCAGTAACAGAATCTTCTACGACATCTTCAAATTCAGCAAAGTCATTATCATCATACTCTACAATGTCATCCTCATCTTCGAAGTCATCAAACTTGGCTTCCGAGACACTTCCAAACACCAAGAGAACAATGCAGAAAGCATGGAAGGTTTTCATCTCACCCTAAAAATAAGCTTCAAAATGAGAAAAAAAAGAATCCTAAAGTGAACTGCCATTCTACATATATACTGATCAGATTTTATAAACAGTTAAAAATAAAAATCTATAAATCCACCAAGTGTGGTACATGTTTTAATTCCAGCACTTGAAGACTGAGGCAGGAGGATCATTTAAAGTTTCAGGCCAGCGTGGGCTACAAGGTGAATTCAAGGCCAGCCTGAACTACACAGTGATACTCTAAACTCAAACAGCCCCCCTCAATCTACAATATCTTTTTAAAACATAACTTTTATCACTTCAGGTTTTGATAATCATCAAAGGCTAATATATTCCTACAAAGTAATGTAAGAACACTGATTTTTGATTTTTATAAAATGACCCCATTACATCAACTCTACCTTTGCTGAGCATATCACCGTGATACATACTATGCCAAAAAGAATGAAACATGATTCCTGCCAGGTATGGTAGTATACGTCTGTAATGCCAGCACTGACAGGTCAAGGCATAAAAGCCTGGGCCACATAAACAAGTTTAAGGCCAGCTTACCCTACAAAGTCAGAACCTGTCTCAACCTCCTGTTCCCCAAAAAACTCACACAAACATAATTACCATCATAAATTTGTACAGAATTTTAGCTTAAGGGTTATGTTACACTATTACTTATGAGAGTTTTAAAATTATTTGGTAAACTATGGGTATTATCTAAATGACAAGTTTATTTTTTGTCCATTAAAAATTATTAGAACTGATTGACTGACTGCGATACTGGGGGACTGAATGCAGAATCTTCACACACTGAGCTACAGCCCCATTCCTTTTTTATTTTGAGACAGGGGCTCACTTAAGCCTCAAATTGTCAGTCTGGGCTTGAACTTGTGATCCCTCTGCTTTAGACTTCCAGAGTGCTGGGATCATGTTGTTTTAGAAGCAAATGTACCAAGAAAAAGGTTTAGAAGCATATACATCTATATATAAATACACAAATGATTCTTTCTATGATTCTGGCCACAAATCAAATTGGACAAGAACTGAATCAAATTCAACGTTATGTTCAATATTGATCTTATGAGGAAACTTGATTTGGGTCTTATCTGGTTCAGTTTGTGAGCGGAATCTTGGAGATCACTGAATTTATAAACTGAGGTATCACTGTAGTATGCAGGGTGTTCAGTAGGATTATGAGTACTTTATTTTTGTTCTAATTTTTCTGTAATGTACTTTTGTAACTTAAAAGCATAGGTTTTTTTTTTTTTTTTTTGGTTTGTTGTGGTACCAGGGATTGAACTCATGACCTGGTGCTTGCCAGGCAGGTGTTTAGGCCACTGAGCTAAATCACCAGCCCAAAAGCATAGTTTCTGTATTGGAGAAGATGAATTGGAGACTGAAAAATAGCAAAGAGGTCTAAACTAGCATATTTTGGTTTGCTAGAACACTGGGTTTATAAACCCAAGTTAAGAAAATAAAGCTAAGGGGCTGGGGATTTAGCTCAGCGGCAAAAGCGCCTGCCTGGCAAGCAGGCAGTCGTGAGTTCAATCCCTGATACCGATAAAAACGAAAAAGACAAAAAAAAAAAATGAAGCTAGAAAGGCCAACAGGAGCCAGATCATGTCAATCTTCATTTAAACACCACACCAAGAAGTTCAAATAATCACAGGCAACTAAAGTATTTTAATCAAAACAAAGAAAGAAAGAAAAAAGAAAAACCAACAAAATGACACTGTCAGATATGCAAGTTAATTTTAACAAAAAAAAAAAATTTTTTTTTTGTGGTACTAGGGATTGAACTCACGATCTCAAATTTACCAGACAGGCACTTACGCCCCTGAGCTAAATCCCTGACCCTTTTTTTTTGTCTTTTTGAGACAGGGTCTTGCTATGCAGTTCAGGCTAGTCTTGAGTTCACTTTGTAGCCCAGACTGGTCTTGAATCTTGAATTTTCAATGATTCTCCTGCCTCAGCCTGCCTCCCCAGTGCTGGGATTACCAGTATGTGCCACTACACCCAGCTAATTTTAACAATTTATATACGGAATAAATCCAAGAAAAGTACTTGAAGGAGGAAAAATAGGAAGTCTCAAATAACTGATAAAATAATATTTGTTGCATAAATGAAGAGAAAAGTTAATTAGACAGCTATTTAAGAATTAAATTTTGGGTCAGGGATTTAGCTCAGCAGCATAAGGGCCTGCCTGGCAAGCGTGAGGTCATGAGTTCAATTCCCAGCACCAAAAACAACAATAATAATAAAACAAAAAACAAACAAACAAACAGACACCCAAGAATTGTATTTGTCAGGCCGGGAATTTATCTCAGTGGTGTTAGTGTAAGCTTGATACCGGGTAACAAAACAAACAAACAGAAGATTGTATGTATCAACACAAAGTAAACATAAAGGGAACACATGGGCAAGACCTGCAGTGATTCCAAGTCTACGTTGTTTATTTGTCTGTTTTTGGAGGACAGGGTCTTGCTATGTATTCTGAGCTGGCCTTGAACTCACTAGGTAGCCCACCAGGCTGGTGATGATCTTGCCTCAGCCTCCCATTACAGGGGTGCACCATGCCTGGCTCCAAGTTCTGTTAAATGAATAACTGGAAAAAGCCATTTTTATTGAGATAGACAATAATAAAGGAGGAAAAAAAGTAAGGCAAAGGTAATTCAATTTGCTACTCACTAAAAATTTTGAGGTGTTTCAAGTAGTATGCTACAAGATTAAGGTATCTCAATTTTCACAATGCGCCAAAAAGGTGTTATAACCCATTTTCAGAGAGGAAGGCAAGGAAGTAGCTGTAAACAAAATGTTTAGGAACCAGGCTTGAACGGGGAAAAAGATGGTGTATAGACAAGATCATCCAGGAAATATCACCCAGAGAGAGAGGGAGAGAAACTACTAAGCCTCAGCAAAATCTTGAAACAAAGCATAACGACTAAGATGTAACACATATTTCCTATTTCCTGCAAAATCCTCAAGGAATGTACTCGATAAATACTAATTCCCTTTCTTCTGGCATACTTTAATAAAGATCTCCAAGAGTTAATATCTATTTTAGTGCTTCCCTTTCAGAACTCCAGGCTTAAACTTTTTAAGTAGAAGCAACTAAATGTTTACTGTAGACAGCCAAGCTGGTTAAGAATGTCATAAGGTCTGGAATTTCCCTTTGGAATGTTCATACAACCAAAGGCATTTCTACTATAATTCAGCATTGTAACAAAGCTTAAGGTTATTTAGGTTAAAATTGTCCAAGCACTTTGCACATTGGTTTTCCTAGGTCTCCACTGTATTTGTTAACCCATTTCTCACAAGCACAAGTTGCCATGTCATGCAGCCTCCATGGCTCCTGAAGTCGGCAAAACTGAACGGAGGCAGGGCATGAGCACTAACGGGTCTGGTGTAACTTTTTTTTTTTTCAAACTCGCCTTATTATCTCTCAACAACTGACTCTGGACTTGAAAGAGGAATAAATGGAACGCTCATTCTTTGTTGACAGTTCAGATTAGGCCTGTATGACATTAACCAAAACATGAGATTTCTAGGAAGCATGTAGACATTGATCTGTTTACTTACTGATGTCAATTAAAAACATGTCTTGTTAGAAACTTTCAAAGAAGGTTCACCACATAAGTCATTTCTGTCAAACCACCCATTTCTTGTCTCTCCACCATGACGAATCCATTCATCCTAAAGTCTACGTTCCATTTTTCCTGCTGCACGCTGGAAATTTCCTCAAGTTTGTCTTTTGAGTTGGTATTTGCTCACACCTCTGCAGAGATCCCCAAAAGCACCACAATTACCCCCACACTCCGAAAGATAAACCGTAAATCGATTAGAAAAAGCGGACAGAGATTTTAAAAATGTTTTTAAAGAGAGTCGGGAGAGATGAGAAGTTGCGGGGATCGATGTCATTACCCGCTAAACTTACGGGTTGCTGGGGTGGAAAACGGGGCCCGGCTACAGGCCACGCAACTCAACCGTCACTCGGCCTGAAGGTGTCCCCGCGACTAACGCATCACGGCCCACTACCAACCTGCACCCGTCTGGCGCTCCGGCTGCGGGTACTTCTACCCGCCTCTCTGCTGCCTTCGCCTTAGCGGCAGTCTGACTCGTCGAGACGCCCACAGGACGCAGACACTGCAGGTAACACAGGCACGGCGCTCCACTCTTCACGTAGCCCCCACCGTCTGTTACGTAGAATGCGTACGGCTCGTCCGCGCCTGCGCGCAACGGGGAGCACAGGACGCAGCCTCCAGGAAAGCGCGAGACTTCCTCGTTCGCGCTGTTAGAGGTGAGGTGGGGCGGCTGGGAAAATTACATAATCCCCGCCCCGGGGCCAGAAATGTCGTCGCTAAAAGACGGATTTCTCCATTAGTAAGACTGATGTCACACTCAACTGGTGATCCGGAAGTTAAAGGTGGCCATGTTCTTTGGGACCATGTGGTCTGAGGCATAAGGTGAATGTTGCTTAAATCGTATTTGCAGGTGACCAAAGATAAGGAGACTGGCATTTTTATGTAAATATAATTTCCGACCTTTATTCTGTTGAGAGTTTTGGGCGGCTCCCTGCCCCTGCCACTTTTTCTAGTCCCAGATACGTTTTTTGGTGGGCCGTGAACACCTTCCACCCAGCAGCAGCTTCCTGTAGGTGCCTGAGGAGTCTGTGAAGGATTCCGGAATTTTAAGGACGGGCGCAAGCAGCACCTTCCGGGAGCCGTAGTTTCCTCCCCAGGCCCCGCCCTCCGGCGCTCACTCTCCTGAGTGCGCATGTCAGGTGTGCGTTCCCCTCCCTCCGTCAGCAACGGGCAGAGAGGCGGCGGCGGCGATAGCAGCAGTAGCAGCGGCGGCAGCGAAGGGGGCGGAGAAGGAGGAGCGCGGCGGGACGCGATCCAGACCGCGCCTAATTCTGGCTGTGGGATTCCCTCTACGACAGAGGTGTTGGCGGCTGTCGCTGCAACCATAGCAGCAGGTCTGTGTGAAAGGGGTCTGAAGGCGAGACTGCTCGCCCTTGGGTCACTAGAGGCAACTGGGGCCTAGCAAAAGCCGAGGAACCGCAGCCTCTTTTTAACAAAGAGTCGGCGAAGCCTCAGGGCCCGGGGGCCCAGGAGGGATAGGGTGCGCTCTGAGGCCCTGAGAGATTCTTCGGAGCCGCGTCGCCCTCCCACGGAACCCGCCTTTCCCAGTTCTCAGCGAGGCCCAGTTGGCGGCTTTTCGGAGGCGGCGCTTGCAGGACTCAAAAAGGGATTTGTAGAGTGCCGGGCTCCAAGGCTGAGGTAGCCGTGGGGAAGCTTCTGACCCAAGTGGGCAGCAGTTGGGAGATGCAAAACTCCCAAATAGGGGTTCCTGGTAGCAGAAGTTGACGGGTCAGAAAATGAGAAAAGTCAGTCACTGGCCTTTGTGATTAGCATTACCATAGACAAACTTTGGCGGCCTACTTGAGAGCCTGCCTCATGTGAGTAAATAATTTATGTGGATCGCTAACACACGAAAAACATAAAAAGACTATCACACTAGTCAGAGTTTGGGGAATTATGTAGCCTCATCAATTTAGTGAGCATTTCCTTCTTGGCCTCTACTTCTTTAGGCTGTCGTTCAGTTTCCTGTGGCTTCCTTCTATGGTACTTTTTCTGTGAGTACTGTTTGTGTATCTGTCTTCTGTATTCATGTGCGGGAGCTCCTAAAGGGTAGAGACTTTCAATTAGTTTTTAGAGCTCAGCCCAGTTGTGGCGGGTAAGACGCGAATGGTGTTTAGTGTAAAACATGGTTAGACTTTCAACGGTGGGTAAAAAGTGTGTTTTCGTGTACCCAGAAGGAATAGCATAATAATTAATATATCCAAGGATTACTTTTATTAGTATCTGCTGTGCCTATTTCCTACCCACCCTCAAAAGGTATCAGTTATAGATCTGAGTCCTGCCTTTATGAAACATAGTAGGAGGAAGAGAAACAAGCTTATATTATAGGGTACATTAGAAAACTTAATATACCTTAGGAAAAACAGTGCCTTAGGAAATGAGAAATGGGGGTGGATGTTGGAATTTTTAGTAGAGTGGTTAGAGAAACCTTTTATGACAAGCCATTATTTAAGCACACTAGGAGATGAGGGAGTCAAATAAATATCTGGAGTAAGAGAACAGCTAGCATAAAGGCCTTCAAGAGGACAAGGGTAGCCTGTTAGAAGACAGTGAAAGATGAATGTGTTTGGAGCACTGAGCAAACAAGGGAGTGGTAAAAGATAAGGTTAAGGAAAAATGGGAGGGGGAAGGGGAATGGGCAAAACAACCAGGGCCTTTTAGGCCTTTATGAAGATTTCATCTCAACTATGCATAAGATGGGAACCATCTGAGCAGAGGGGTGATAAGATTTAACTTACATTGTAATAATGTAGCATAATCATGGACAAGTGCAATTCTTCAAATTCATGCTGTATCACGAAGATAGTTATAATTTGTCCTTAGTTTCATTAAAGAGAAGGGGATGCTTCTAAAGTAACTATCATCCAGCAGTTAGTTATATTTGGTTTTAGAAAAATGTGATGAAAGTCTTATTTTTTGTACAGATTCTCATTAAAGAATTAATTAGTGTGTAAGATATTCTTAGAGCAGATTAGTAGATAGAGGTGATGCTAATCAACTATCCACTATAACTCAAGAGCTCTTTTTCAGAAATTCAGGTGATGAAGTAATATAGTTTTATCTATATCTCTATATCTATTTTTAGTTCACTATGTAAAAAATTCATCTCCCTGTCTTATTTTTCACTGTTAATCAAAACACAAACTCCAGGCAATTTTTGAGACAAGATCTTGCTATGTAGTTCAGGCTGTCTTTGAACTGCATAGCCCAAGCTGGCCTCAAACAGCAAACTTTCTGTTTTTGTAACCTCCCAAGTGCAGAGATTGCAAGTATGTACCACCGCGCCTGGCAGGTACATTTCTTATTTGTATTTCACTTTTCTAACTTCCCAGCTTTTACTAATTCCTTCTTAGAATATCTTTCTTTGTACATCTCTACCCAGCTTGAAGAACCTAGTGTTAGCTTTAGCTCTTTCATAAAGCTTGCTTCCATTTGACAACTGCTAGTGATCTCTAACTTAATCATCAGTGTCATACAACACTTAGATATAATTCTCTGAGTTGAAAGAGATCTGATATTAGCTACTTACCTATGGAGAAGTTCATTTCTGGAGAAATAATGATGTTAAACATCAGCTCCTGTGTATTGAGCACTTACTACGTACCAGGTTTTTAAAAATGTACTTTTGTGTGTGAACTCAGTTTTTTATCCTAGCTCATAAAGTAAATGGTATCTTCAACATCGTACAGATGAAGCTGAGGCCCAGAGAAAGTAAATAAATTCCTTGAGATTCATGTCAATTTTAACTTTTTATGTTTTTATTATTTATTTATTTTTGAGATGAGGTCTCACTGCATATTTCAGGCTAACCTTGAACTCACTATGTAACCCAAGGTGGTCTCAAACTCACAGTGATCCTCCTGCGTTAACCTCCTAAGTGCTGGGATTATAGATGTAAGCTACCATACTTTGCTCAGTTTTAAATCTGTTCTAGAGCAGATTGTCATTCATGTGCTCAATTATAAAATAATGAAGTAATAGTTAAACAGAATGAAAAAAAGAACATAAATTCCTATTTCCTTGGGGGCAGTGGTGTGATATATGTTGGTATTGTGGAAGTAAGAAAAGTCACATCAAAGAGATGTGAGCATTGAGATGCTCTGTATGACCTCGTTCTCTAGGTTTTTCCACTTTGTGACATATACCTTCCATATACACATTTCTGTTTTTGTCATTCTCTTCAGTTCAGTTCAGTCAGGCTGGAATGAGACCTTACTTTATGCCATTACTCTTTTACCATTTCTGTTACTCAGAGTTTCTCCCTATATACTTCAGTTTCAGGAAAATCAAACACTCTGATAAATGTTTTTTCCTCTTCTTAAATTTTCTCCTAACTAAGTCTGTCCTATCTATCCATGAAGGTCCTATCTCTCAGAGCTCATCTGAAATACTCCTAAAATGGTAACATAAATATGATTTTCCAGAAAAGTGATCTGATTCAGAATCAATCTAGTCTTAAAACATCTGATAACATAACTTCCCTTGGTGCTGATAATACTCCTGAGTATTGAACCTAGAGCTTTTGCACTGAACTTTGTCTGTAGCCCTTTTTATTTTGAAACAGGATTTCTCTTAAGTTGCCCATGCAGGACTAGCATTGCCTCCCAAGTGCTGGAATTATAGGCATGCACCCCTCACTCACCTTAATTATAACTATTTGAATTTATGTTATAACTTTACTACATAGAGATACTTCTTGGGAATTTGGAGTATTTGCTAGTTGCAGGTTCCAGTAAAACACATTTTATTTTGTTTTGTTTTTTGGCTTTTTTGAGACAAGGTTTGTAAAACACATTTTAAAGATTGTGTATGGAGACATTGTACTGGGGTTTGAACTTGACTTTTACACTGAGCAACATTCTCAGCCCTTTTTCCCAAGCTGGGCTCAAATTTAGGATTCTCCTGCTTCAGCCTCCAAGAGTTGTGGGATTACAGGCATGTACCACCATTCTGGCTAAAGGAATATTTTTTAAAAGAAAAAAAAAGTAAAAAAAATCCATGTTTCACAAAACATCATTTCAGAAACTACACTTCTGTAAGTTGGATAAAATTAACAAAAATACATGTGCAAATAGAATTTCTAATTCTTTAATTTTCATAATATTGGGTCTTTTCTCTCCGTTTGTTAATCGTGCTACTCACTGTTGAATTTAGGGCCCTCTCACTGAGTTACATCCTCTGTAATCCCACCCCTTTATTTTGAGACAGGGTCTCGCTGAGTTGCCCAGGCTGAGCTCCAATTTTCATTCCTTTTGTCTCAACCTCCTAGATTACAGGAATTACAAATATGTGCCACCACACCTAGTTTATTTTTTTGTTTGTTTTTAACTTTAAAATACACATTGAAAATGTAGCCATTTTAGAGCCATACATGGTGATATTACACATGTAATCCCAGCACTTGGGAGAGTGAGATAGGAGGATTGCCACAGTTCAAGGCCAGCCTGGACTACAAAGTCTCTATTTAAAAAAAAAAATTTTTTTTTAAGTACACAGTTCAGTGGCAATAAATATACCTGCATTGTTTTGTTACCATCACTGCCATCCAGCCACAGAACTATTTTCTGAAGGGAAAACTGAAATGTGCCTATTAAACAGCAGTAGTCCTTTTTATCCCTAGCTCTCATCACCACTGCAATCACTATTCTACTGCAGTCACAATCACTGCAATCACTATTTCGGTCTTGGAATTTGACTGTTAGGAATACTTCATATAAGTGGAATCATGTGTTCTTTGTAACTTACTCAATGTAGTGTCCTCAAGATTCATCTGTCATAGTGTATATCCGTTTTTTAGGGTGTGTGTGTGTGTGTGTGTGTGTGTGTGTGTTTGAGACAGAGTTTCACTAGGCAGTTCAGGCTGGCCTTGAACTCATTTTGTATTCCAGGCTGGCTTGCAACTCGGTAATCTTCCTTCAACCTCCCAAGTGCTGGGATTACGGGCATATATCACCATGTACAGATATGGTGGATCATATGTTAATTCTGTTTAATCTTTTGAAAAACCCCTACATTGTTTCACATTTTACGTTTCTCTCAACAATATAAGAGGCTCTTTCTTCACATATGTGCCAATATTAACATTATTTGTGGTGGGAAATTTTGTTTAGAATTGCCCAAATGAATCCCAGTTTTGTTGACAACATCCAAAGCATCATAATCAAGAGGAACTAATAAAGTTTGCTTTCTCTTATCAGAGAAAGAGACCAGAGTCTTACCGGAGTGTTGACCATGGCCACCTCACTGTCATGTAGAGCTTCTTCGGAGCTTTGACATTGACAGTGAACACAAGTATGTTAGCTTCAACTTTCGTGGCACATTCATTGGTTAGGGTGAACCTGATGACGTGATTAAGCATATTTCTTCTGGGAATGCTCTTTCAAGGATACATTGAGAGGTTGCCTTCAGAGCCCCAGTGTCTTGGGCAGGCATAAAGTGGTATGAGGGACAGATCTTTCTTTGTATGTGGCTATGGAAACTTTCCTGGCTTTCAGAATTTGTTTTGCTTCAATCTTTAGGACTATCTTGGTGAGAGGCTATTTTGTAGGTTTTTGTTGTTGTTGTTGTTCTGTGTTTTTTTTTTGTTTTTTTGTTTTGTTTTTTTTTTTTAGAATAGCTGTTAAGTGGATGTAAGGTATGGTTTTGAATTGCATCTTCCTAATTATTAATGGTATTGAACATATTTTCTTATGCTGATTGGCCATTTTATTTGAAGAACCGTCTGTCAAAATTCTTTACCTATGTTTTAATTGGACTTTGGGGAAGGATTGTAAAAATTTTAAATGAAATCTAGGAAGTTTACCTGGTATAGGAAGCTATATGGTAAATATGCCAGTATGAGTAGTAAAAGACTTGTCAAGAAACAAAGTAATGATGCATTGAGGATGAACTGACTTATTTTTAATCAGGAAGGGCAGCTGGTTAGATAATAAGATTTGAAATAATAATGGTTTTCTGAAACTCTGGAATGAATTTTGGAGAGTGTGGATGCATATTTATTCATTGAAAATTCTTTTGAGTACTGCACACATACTTATGCACTGTTATCCTACCTTTATATAGTTGGAGGGATTGTTTTTTGTTGTACTAAGGATTGAAATCAGGGCCCTATTCTTGTTCTATACCACTGAGCTTTTTTAAAAAATTGTTTTGTTTGTTTTTGAGACAGAGTCTAAGTGGCCCAGGCTGGCTTCCAATTTTTGATTCTCCTGCCTGAGCCTCCCAGGTCACTAGGATTATAGGTATATGCCATCATGCCTAGCCTTTTAAAAATTTTAAGATAGGATCTTGATCAGTTACCCAGGCTAACCTCAAGTTTATGATTCTTTTGCCTCAGTGTCCCAGGCAGCTGAGATTACAAGAATGGACTACCATATCCAGCATAAAAGTCATATTCTAATCAGTAGGATATATAGAAAATAAATTTGTTTAGTATTGCCAAAATTGATGAATTAAAGAAAATGGCCATAGTTCTCTAGATCTCTACCTAAAGGATACTGCTTTTGATCTGTTGAGTCTGTAAGCCACTGAGCAGATTTCACCTATGGAAGAAGTAGATTGTTTGGTTTGGTTTGGTTTTTTGAGACAAGGTCTCTCCATGTAGTTCAGGCTGATCTTGAACTTGTATAGGCTATGCTAGCCTCAAATGTGCAGCAGTCCTCCTGCCTTAACTTCCAAATGCTGGAATTACAGGCATGTACCACTACACTCAACAGAAGTAGAATTGTTCTTTTTTTTTTTTTTTTTAGGTAGTGTCTAGCTGTGAAAACTAGACTGGCCTTGAACTCACAGCAGTCCTCCTGCTTCAGTCTTCAGAGTTGCGATTACAGCCTTGTGCTTGTACACTCAGTTTAAAAGTTGAATTTTTAAAACCAAGGAATTGATTTACTGCTTTGTAATTTGAGCCATTTGATTATCTACTAGGATTGACTTATATCTATACCTGCTCTCTTCTTGTTAGTCTGGAGGAAAAGGTACTTATCCCTTTTGTTAAAAGTTTTGATCTTTAGGTCTGCTCAGGACCTCATTCTTTCCTTTTTTTTTTTTTCTTTCTTTTCCTGTCACTACATACCTTCAGTTTTTCTAACTGTTGATAGGACTTGTCAGTCACATGCTTGCATTTCTTCCTTAAAAAGTAAAACTCTGACTAAGCTAAATAGCTGATACCTGTAAAGTCCTACCACTCTGAGAGGCTAAGGTAGGAGAACACTAGCCTGAGCAATTTAGTGACTTAAAGGGCCTTGGTATGTAAAATTCTCTGGATGCCTCACTTGCTTCCAATCGTTGATAAATGGTCTACAAAATAATATTTACTCTTCTTGATCTGGTCTTTTCTTTGTACCCCTTTCTCACCAGTCATTCCTCAACTGTGCCCTTACTCTTCCATTCTCAACAGAGACTTTTTAAGTTCACATCTTAAGTGACTTCTATTTAGTTTTTAACATAGGACATTTCTTTCTGCCTGTAAAATTTCCCTTATCAGCTGTGTTTGTTTCCTCTCTATTCCTTTTGGAGTTTTCATGCTTCTCTTCCCTACTCATTCCTAAATGTAACCACACTGTAAGGTTTATTTTACCTCTTTTCACACTCTGTAGCTTCTTTGCTAGCTTATCTATATCAGTATTGTGCAAGTGTCTTACATCAAATGTTAGCTCCATCTAGGCTCCACTCTGCAGTTAAGAGTTCTGCTTGGCATCTCTCATTAGTTCTGCCAGAGATATTGAACTCACTTTGCTTTCTGCCCATTTTTCCAAGCTTTGCTGTGTGTAGCACCTTTCAAGTTTACATTTCTGGAGCTGGGAATTTAGCTCAGCGGCATAAGCACCTGCCTTGCAAGTGTGTTATTGTGAGTTCAATCCCCAGTACCGATAAAAAAACAAAAAGACAAAATTTTTAAAAATTAAAGAATAAAATAAAAATTTTAAAAAGTTTACATTTCTGTTAATGACATCACCTCATTCACCCAGCCATTAAAACTGGAAACTTACAGAATTATACCAGGCCCTTCTTTTTCCCTTAGCTTCCACACCAATTTTGGCCGTGCAACCCTTTGATTCTTTTTCTTAGATTCCTAAATAAATGATGCCCTCTTTCTCCTTCCTCAGAGGTAGTTACTTAGTTCAGGACTCTGCCATTTTTAATTTATTTCTATAATAGCCTCCTAGCCACTTTCCTTGCTAACAGTTTTTCTGGTTTTTTGTTTGTTTTTGTGGGCAGAATAAGGTTTGGGTTTGTTTATCTATCTGTGTTCTGAGGCAGAGTCTTATAGTTTAGGCTGGCCCTAACTCATTCTGGAGCCCAGGCTGGCCTCAAACTAAGTGATCTTCCTGTGTCAGCTTCCAGAGTACTGGGATTACAGGTAAGTGCCACCATGCCCAGCAGAGATAAGATTTATTGATGAATTTGTTATGAAGGGAGTGATGGTACAGTGTAAGCCTTCAGGAATACAAGCCTGCCACATGTCTGAGGAACAGCAATTTGGAATGTTTCACCCTGCAGCTATCAGAGATGAAGTGTTTCTTAGCCACCATGTCTTCAAATTCCTCTGCATTGAACTTGGTAAAGCCCTATTTCTTTGAGATATGGTTCTTCTGGTGGCCAGAGAACTTGAATGTGGTCTCTATCACCTGTTCGTTCTGCAACTCTTGTGTGTGGATGGACATAATAACTTGTCCAATGTGAATTCCTTGCCACTGTGCTCTGGGGCTTCCCAAAGGCATCCCACATGCCTGTCTGGAGCCTAGATTGTGAACAACACAAGGTCAGAAACATGAACATCCACCAGGAAACAGTGTCTCCAAGGTCCCTTAGGATTAGCCCATACAAGCAGCAGGCTGCATATACCATTGAGGAGTTTGCTATTTAGCCATTGCACACTGGGCACCCATCATCTAATACACTAATTTGAAACATCTTTTTTGCTTAAGGTGAATGATTCTTTTTGTTGGTAGTACTGTACATAACTTTGTATGGAATAGTTTTAATTTACCGAGTTGTTTTCTTGAGCCTACCTGTCTTTCTGAACCTTCCCAGATGCCTGTAGCTGCATTAAATTGTTTTTTTCCTCAACCTTAGTACTTGCAATTTCTTTATTCTAAAGCATCCTTCTCTAACGCTGCTTCCCTGATGAGTGCCTCTTCAGATTTCAAAACTTAATAGCAATATCTCTCCAAGAAAACTTGTACTTTCATCTCTGCTCATTCCTGTTTTGGGTATGTCTCTCCTGGACCACTGGAATGAACTTTGTGTGTGTAGTACTTGTGTTAGGAGGCACTGTATTATTTTGTTTTTTGCTGTGTTGGAAATTAAATCTAGGGCCTCAGAGCCAGGGATATAGCCTAGTGGCACAGCAGCTGCCTAGCAAGCATGAGGTTGTGAGTTCCATTCCTGGTACCAAAACCAAAAAAAACCAGAACTTCATGTATGCTCACCATGTTCTCTACCACTGAGCTCCAGTCCCCTACATGTCATCTTGGGTGTTTTGTTTTGTTTTGTTGTATTGTTTTTTTGTGATGATAGGAATTGAACCAGGGCGTCATGCATGCTCGGCAAGCACTCTACCACTCAGCTAACCTGGTACATCATGTTTTTTGGCTGGCTAAAACTGCACTGTCAACTTGAGAATATGGATAGTATCTTTAGTATATAAATGTCCAGTTTTAAAATACACTTGCTTCCTCAGCAAACTTCAGTATGCCACTGAAAGTTTTCCTGCTAGAAGATTGTGTTTCTTCTTTTTTTTTCTAATCCACTTTATTTCAAATCACAATAGTCTGAGGACATCAATTGTTTGTGTTTCTTAAAATCTACCTGAATTTAGCTGCTTATGAGGGTGCACACCTGCAATCCCAGTACTCCGGAGGCTGAGGCAGGAGGATCATTGCAAGTTCAAGACCAGCCTGGGCTACAAAGTAAGTTTGAGGCCAGCCTGAATTGTATAGTGAAACTCTGTCTTAAAAAGAAGAAGAAAAATCCTGAATTTATGTTCCCAACACAATAGTTTTAAATTTTCTTTTTGCACTGTGAGTTTTCTGCTTTCCTACAAAACTTAGGTGAACTGTGTCATTAAGAAAGATGGTTTTGGAGTCAGGCATGGAGCATATGCCGATTAGTCCTAGCACTTTGGGAGGTGAGGCAGGAGGATTGCCATGAGTTTGAGGACAACCTAGCCTGCATAGTGAGTTCACAGGCAGTCTGAATTATATAGCAAGACTATGTCTCAAAGAACAAAGAACAGTGTTTTGAAGCAGGGCATGATGGTGTATGTCTTAAATCCCAGCACTCTGTGAGGCTGAGACAGGAGAATCACAAGTTACCTTGGCCACTTGAGTGAAACCCTGTCTCAAAGTACGAAAAAGCCACATCTGTAGTCCTAGCACTTGGGAAGCTGGTGGTGAGTTTAAGCCAGCCTAGGAACCTAGTACACACAAGAGCAATGTGGAATCATAGCAAGACCCTGTCTCAAAAAAAGGCAGGAGAAAGGTGGGTTTTTTATGTTTTGTTTTGTTTTTTGTTTTTTGGGGTTTTTTTTGGTGGTACTGGGGATTGAACTCACAACTTCATACTTGCCAGGCAGGCACTTAAGCTGCTGAGCTAAATCCCCAGCCCCGGGAAAGTGTTTTTGTATGTACTTTGGATCTAAGTCAGCCCAAAGGCCTTGGTTTAATCCCCAATTGTTGACTCAAAATATGTTTTGAGGGGAGAAAAAAACCCAAGAGAAAATGAATAAAAATGTTTTGGGGCCCAAGATTAGTAAATAGTTTATAAACATTTTATGATATTCAAGAAATTTCTTTGTAATCTTTACATATAACCTAACTAAATACAGCTGGCAACAATTTAATTGGATTATGATTTTACAGTTTCTTTTAGAGAATTCTGGTGGGTAGTTGTTCAGTGAATGAATGGTTCATAAATAACCTTCAGGGAATACATGTAGATAATAACTCCAAACATTTAGTCTTTTCTGAGTCTTGCTGTGCTCCTCAATCAGATCTGGACTTCCTAGACTAAACAGATCCTCATGCTCAGCCTCCTGAGTAGTCAAGACTACAGGCATTTCCCACTATGCGTGGCCATAATCTTTGGGATAGAACTCAAGTCCTCATGTTTGCCAGGCAAACGCTTATGCCACTGTGCTAAATCCCTGGCCACTATGTGGCCATAGTCTTTTTTTTTTTTTTTTTCTTTCGGTACTGGGGATCGAACTCACGACCGCCTGCTTGCAAAGCAGGTGCTTATGCCGCTGAGCTAAATCCCCAGCCCCCGTGGCCATAATCTTGATGACCTTGAATTTGTCATAATCCTGCCTCAGCCTCCCAAGTGCTGAGATTACATCCAGCAACATTTGAGTTTTTATCATAGCAAGCATATTACAAATTACTTTTTGAGTTTTTTTTTGTGTTTTCCTAGTGGCTACAAATTCTTTAAGGATAAAATGAAGGGATTGTCTTCTTGCTGTCTTTAACTGCCTAATAAAATGCCTAGCCTATCTTAAGAGTCCCTAAATTGTTTTTGCTTAGTATTTTGCAACTTAATATTAATGAAAAATCATCCTTTTGAGCAAGGTAATATTACTACATTACTGTTTAGTTAATGAGATCCCAATAAAATTAATATGATTTCTTAGTATTTTAGGAAATATCATTTGGTTGAAGTTTTCTTTTTATTTGTTGGTGCTGATGATAGAACATAGAGTCTTCACACTGAGCTACATCCCCAGCTCTTTTTATTTTTTATTTTCAGACAAGATCTTGGTAAATCACTAAGTTGCCCAAGTGGGGCTCAAACTTGCAGTCCTTCTGTCTCAGTCTTCCAGAGTGCTGGAGTTACAGGTGTGTCCCACCACATCTGGTTTTGTTAAGGTTTTCATAACCATCTGAAGTGCAGTGTTACAGTTTTAATTGAAAAACAAGTTTAAAATAAAATTGTGGGTCAAAGTTGAAAGAGAAGCCAAGTGAGGCTGCTTATAAAGCAAAATAAAAAATTGTAAAAGTTCACACATCTTGTTCTTTACAGGTCAGTCGTGGGCACCATGAACTGGAATAAAGGTGGCCCTGGCACTAAGCGGGGATTTGGTTTTGGAGGTTTTGCCATCAGTGCTGGGAAGAAAGAAGAAACCAAACTTCCTCAACAATCGCACAGTGCCTTTGGGGCAACTAGTTCTTCCTCTGGATTTGGAAAATCAGCTCCACCGCAGCTTCCTTCTTTCTACAAAATTGGATCTAAAAGGGCCAACTTTGATGAAGAAAATGCGTAAGTTGGGCCAGGGGTGTGGTTCAGTTGTAGAGTGCTTGCTCTGCATGCAAGAGGCCCTGGCTTTAATTCAACCCTGCCACCCCAAAAAAAGAAGAGAAAAAGAAGGGCATGGTAACACATAGCTATAATTTTAGCACCCTGGGAGGCTGAGGCAGGCGGATCACAAGTTTGAGCCCAGGCTGGTTAACTTAGTGACTTAGCAAGACTGTCTCAAATGAAAAAGGTGGGCATGTAGCTCAGTACAAAGGCTATGAAAAAAGCATAAATGTAATTCCTGATTTAGCAAAGGATGCCCTTTGAGATTCTCATTCCATCAGCAGAGATTGAGGCCAAAAAATCCTTTGTTTCCCATAATATGTCTTTCTAAATTGATTGCTTTATTTATTGGGTTGTTTATAATAAGTTAAACTGTTAATTTTACTTAATTTGTTTTCTGGATTTTGTTGTTTTTGAGACTGGGCCTCATCATGTAGTCTACTTGATAGAATCCTCCTGCCTCAGCCTCCAATGTGCTAAAATTACAAGCATGCACCACTACACCTGGCAATTTTACTTATTTGTAAAGAATATAGTACTTGTGGTACTTATACTTTTTTTGTTCCATGAAGCATAGTTTCTTAATTTGTGTTCCATTGGGCAGTTACGGAATAAATATGTTGTGGCAAGATTTAAGGCCATTTAAACTTAAACAGGGCTGCAAAATTTTACATAATTAATGTGGTTTTTGGTGGTCTTTCAGTTTTTTATTGACTATCCAACCAATCATTTGTCAACACAGGCAGTTGTTGGAACTGAGAGAAACACATTTTGCCTTAAAGAAATTATTAGACTGTAATGTCTTAAAGTGGTAGAAAATCTGTATTTTCCCTGCAATATACAGGAAACTTTTAAGTATCATTTTTTAGCTTGTATGTCTAGTAAGGTGTTTAAAAAGCTGAGATTTGAAGGTTTGATTTTTTAATTTCTATAGATAATTTTACTTATACTGAATCTGAAGAAATCTTTTTTCTTCTCCTTTTTATGGTGCTGAGGATGATACCTAAGATCTCATGCATGTTAAGCAAATGTTCTACCAGTGAGCTACACCACCAATCCTCAGGAAATACTTTATTGCTATTATTTCCAACCTGGTCATGGCACGGAGTTTTTTGGCTTTGTTTTATGTGTTAAAAACCTTCTCATGATTGGAGTTTAAAATATTAAGCCAGATGTTATGATGCATGCCTGTAATCCCAGCACTCCAGAGGCTGAAGCAGGAGGGTCAGCCTGAGGCTAGTCTGAACTACAGAGCAAGATCCTGTCTCAAAAATTAAAATAAGTAAATAAAATAAAACTTTTTAGAAGTACACAGTAGCATTTTAGAAAGCTTGGTATGTTATTCAGGAATCAAAATACAGAAGTAGTATTTTGGAAGGTCAGCACAGTAAAGGATTGTTCTAGAGAACAGTTAATGAGTTTGTGATACTGTTTTATTAGTTAAAGCCTATATAAATGAGTATGCAATATTGTATACATGTGTGTATAACAGTTGCTCCATAAATGACTGTTAGTGTATTAGTCATGCATTAACGATGGGAATGCTTTCTGAGAGAAGTATACCTAATTGATTTCATTGTCTTATGAACATATACTTAACCAAACCTGGCTGGTATAGCCTGCACACCTA